ATCATGGTGATGCATAGCAACGAGAGGGGAGAGTGTGATCTACGTACCCTTGTAAATCGACAGCGGAAGCGTTAGCACAACGCGGTTGATGTAGTCGTACGTCTTCATGGCCCGACCGATCAAGCACCGAAACTACGGCACCTCCGAGTTCTAGCACACGTTCAGCTCGATGACGATCCCCGGACTCCGATCCAGCAAAGTGTCGGGAAAGAATTCCGTCAGCACGACGGCGTGATGACGATCTTGATGTACTACCGTCGCAGAGCTTCGCCTAAGCACCGCTACAATATTATCGAGGATTATGGTGGAAGGGGGCACCGCACACGGCTAAGAATATGATCACGTGGATCAACTTGTGTCTAGAGGTGCCCCCCTGCCCCCGTATATAAAGGAGCAAGGGAGGAGGAGGCCGGCCCTAGGAGGGGGCGCGCCAAGTGTGGAGTCCTACTAGGACTCCCTAGTCCTAGTAGGATTCCACCTCCCATATGGAATAGGAAAAGAGGAAGGGAAAAGGAGAAGGAAGGAAGGGGGCGCCCCCCTTCCCTAGTCCAATTCGGACTAGACCAAGGGGAGGGGTGCGGCCACCCTTGAGGCCCTTTTTCTTCTTTCCCGTATGGCCCAATAAGGGCCAATACGTATTCCCGTAACTCTCCGATACTTCGAAAAATACCCGAATCACTCGGAACCTTTCCGATGTCCGAATATAGTCGTCCAATATATCGATCTTTACGTCTCGACCATTTCGAGACTCCTCGTCATGTCCCCGATCTCATCCAGGACTCCGAACTCCTTCGGTACATCAAAACTCATAAACTCATAATATAACTGTCATTGAAACCTTAAGCGTGCGGACCCTACGGGTTCGAGAATAATGTAGACATGACCGAGACACGTCTCCAGTCAATAACCAATAGCGGAACCTGGATGCTCATATTGTCTCCCACATATTCTACGAAGATCTTTATCGGTCAGACCGCATAACAACATACGTTGTTCCCTTTGTCATTGGTATGTTACTTGCCCGAGATTCGATCGTCGGTATCTTAATACCTAGTTCAATCTCGTTACTGGCAAGTCTCTTTACTCGTTCCGTAAATACATCATCTCACAACTAACTCATTAGTTGCAATGCTTGCAAGGCTTATGTGATGTGCATTACCGAGAGGGCCCAGAGATACCTCTCCGACAATCGGAGTGACAAATCCTAATCTCGAAATACGCCAACCCAACATGTACCTTTGGAGACACCTGTAGAGCTCCTTTATAATCACCCAGTTACGTTGTGACGTTTGGTAGCACACAAAGTGTTCCTCCGGCAAACGGGAGTTGCATAATCTCATAGTCATAGGAACATGTATAAGTCATGAAGAAAGCAATAGCAACATACTAAACGATCGGGTGCTAAGCTAATGGAATGGGTCATGTCAATCACATCATTCTCCTAATGATGTGATCCTGTTAATCAAATAACAACTCTTTTGTTTATGGTTAGGAAACATAACCATCTTCGATTAACGAGCTAGTCAAGTAGAGGCATACTAGTGACACTCTGTTTGTCTATGTATTCACACATGTATTATGTTTCCGGTTAATACAATTCTAGCATGAATAATAAACATTTATCATGATATAAGGAAATAAATAATAACTTTATTATTGCCTCTAGGGCATATTTCCTTCAGCTGCCCGGACGAGTCCTAGGGTTTCCCCCTGCACGCGGAGGGGGGCGGGGGATGGATACCACCGACACCCTCCAGGAAGGAATGGTGGCACCCGCAGGTGTCACCGCATCGGGGCCGAAACCGGCAGGGATTTCTCCCGCACTCCAAACCCAACTGAACAGAGCCGACCCGCGAAACCACCGCCCACCACCATGCGCCAACGCAGTTGCGCCGCCACCCACGCCGCCTCACTACGAACACCACCATGATGCCAAGAGGACCGGAGAGAAGCGCACCACGACGGGAGCAGCAACCCCAACACCGAGTGGGAGGGAACCACCTCCACCCCAGTCGTGCGGGAGGCCCGTGCCACCGGCACCGTTGCGGTCGCCGTCTGGACGCGGCAGCGGGGCATGTCGGGCCACCCCTGGCCCAGCCAGGCCCGAAGCAGGCCCGTTAAGCCCCGCCGACCACGATGCAACAGGCCGGCGTCGGTGCCGCCAGCACCTAGCCGCTCGTCACGTCTCCCCCGCCTCCTGGAAGCCACGCCAGAGACCATCCCTGTCGTCGGCCTGCCCAGGCCCAAATGGGCCCGAAGGGCCCAGATCTGGGCCGAGCGGGCGACGCCAGGTCACGTCGCCCCGCTGCTCGCTTGCGTCGCGCCACGGAACCCCGCCGCCACGCCAGACCAAGTGCACCCCCGGGGTAGCTCCGCCCGCACCGAAGAGCGACCGAGAGGGGAAGGGCAGGGAGGCCGCCGCCACCAGCAGCCCCGGGGCCAAGCCGGCCGCGGGCGCCGGCGACAGCGACATGAAGGAAGGAGGAAGGAGGGAAGGTCCCACGGCCGGTCGCCCGGGGGGAGGGGGCGACGCGGTCGCGAGAGGGAGGGAAGGGTTCACTACCGCATTTTTACCCTTCACACTTTCTATGGCAACTTTTCTAGGATGTTGTTCTAACCAGAGATGTTATGAAGCGACGAAACTGGGCTGGCAATCCCCGTTGCTCTTTTTGTGACTGTAGAGAAACCTATTTGCACCTGTTCTTTCTTTCTCCTTTGGCAAAGATAGCCTGGCGCACAGTGGGGGCGCTGCTTGGGACTGTTTTATGTCCCAACAATCTATGCCAGTTTTTTTTTGGTGCTATGTTTTTCTTCCTCCAGGGGAGCGCTACTTCACAATGGGGCTAGCAGCCGTATGCTGGGCTATTTGGAATCGTAGAAACCGGGCTACTTCTGAATTCAAGAAACTGTCATCTCCTTTTAAGATTGTCTTCACCGCTTGTATGCATCTATCTTACTGGGCAGGACTCCTGAAGAGCGAAAGGCGAACGGTGCTGGAGCGTGGTGCAATGATCCTGAAGGAGAATGCTAAAGAAATGATGAGGCTCTGCGCGACCACGTACGTTAGCGACACCGTGGAGTGATCTGCAAAGACACCAAGCTATCTGGAGAACTTGGTGGCGTCATTTTGGTGTAAATTCTGCATGTTTGTGTTGCCTCTGCGTAGGCTGTAATGTGGTCTGAACTTGAGTCTTGGTTGGTGCATGTTGATGGTGCTTCAGGGTTTTTGCCTCGTAGTGGACGTTTCAATTACGAGCGCTCACAGCGGGTTTCCCTGAAGTGCCTGAACTCGCTTTTTTTCCTTTTCCCTTGTCGTGTGAACTTGGATTTGGCTGTATTTCCGTTATATCTTTAATAAAAAAGGGATTAGCCCGGTTAAAAATAATAATAATAATCTCGGACTTGACCTGCATCCGCGTCTTCCCAGCCCCCACCCAAAAACCCTGAATACGGCTCGCATCGCAACGACCACCCAACCCCGCAGAAACAGAAAAATCCGAGCACAGACGACCCATGCGGTGCGGCCGTGCCCTCCTCTATTGTTCTTCACGAGCTCCTCGAACGCCCAACCAACGTTTTCATTTCCCTCCGCATCCCCGCCCGGGCGTCACAAGGCAAGACAAGAATTCGAATCCTCCAGATCTCGATTCCCATTCCAGCGCCAGCGAGGCCAAACAAAAGCAGCCCACCAAACAGTAAACAACAAACCAAGCAAGGCACCCGCTCCCCTGTCCCTCACGCCGGCCGCGCCGTCTCCCTCCCTCCCTCCCCCACCCCATCCAAAAATCCCCAACCCCT